GAACGAACGAACGAACGAACGAACGAAAGAAATTTTGGGGAATAGCTCAATAGTTACCTTCACAGTTCCCGGTGCAATCTTGAAAGGGAGCCGTGCCTTTGCATCGAAGCGAGACGAATAGTGAGGCTTTTTTTAACATCTTGCTCAATTATTCACATACCTCTATCATTGCAAGCTCGCAGTTCGTCTCGCTTCGAAGCAAGGGCACGGCTAACTTTCAAGATGGCGCAGGGAACTGTGAAGTGGACTCTTCTCCAGTAATTCATAGCAAATTACGCCTAACGATAGTTTTCCCAATTTTTACCAATCGAAACCTTCAAAAAATCAGCAAATCAAGTAACGCAAAGGACATGAAAAAACGTTACCACATTTTCTCATTAACATTATTTGTTGTTTTTAATTCTAGCTTACTGTAATTACACCGTACGAGAAGGTCAAAACAAAAGGAAAACAAAATATATAAAATCTATTGACGTGGCTTTTACAGATCCTGCTCAAGGTTCCTTCAATGTCTCTTGGGAGCCTCCTAAAGGTCGGTGAAGAAAAATAAAGTTGAACATTCTTTGTTCTCTTCGAGAAAATTCTCTCCCCTTTGCTTTCGCTATTTTAGGTTCATTTCCTTTGATAATAGCCAGTTTTAAAACCGGTTTGCAATCGAATACAAGTGAATTATGCGCATGCGAAAATGTAATTTGACGCTGGACGCTGTGAATTTTGACAGCGTCGCTAAGTAACCACCACGACAGATATACCGTCCGAAGGTCTATAGATCCACCCCTTGGATGTGATGTTACAGCAGCTCAATTTGGAGAACAGAACAAAAAAAATTCAATCTCCCGAGAATTGGAAACCTATTGTTTTCCCCTCTGCATTCCGACGTGCTGCAAGGGGTCTATTTCAGCTCGACACTGGAGAAAAACGTTTGCTCATGCGTGCATTTCAGCACGTTTTCTAAGAATTTAGAAGAGTTTGAGTGAGAAAATAAATGATTGAGTATACAAAAAAATACTCACGAATATACTTTAGTGATACTGTATTAATAAAGACAATATGAAAGAATTAGCCTTAAGTTTCAAACAAAGACCAAATTCAAAACTCGCACCGATGTGAGGCTTAAGTTGTGAACAAAGGAATCTGGCGTGATTCGTGACTTTTGAATCACGCCAGATTGCTTTGAGTCACGCCAGATCCCTTTGTTCACAACTTAAGCCTCACATTGGTGCGAGTTTTGAATTTGGTCTATGGACACTAAATTTTGGCATTTTGTCCAATTTGCATATCTTTACGATACCAGAAATCGTTTCGATTAATAATTTGCATACGGACTAAGAGCATGCGCAGACGCTTTTCATTCGTATATTCTAGCTCGCCAACCGCTTAATTCTTATACCAAAGAAAAATAGGTTCTGTTAGTAGCGTACCTTAATTGACTCCATTCTTTGAATTTTCTTTCGTTTTCACATTACATTAGCAAGCCCGTACGTGTCATCCGTACACACTTTCACAGTGAATTTAAGATTCTCGTTTACGGCAAACGTGAAACGTCAGTTGACCATTAAAAAGTTCTTTAAAAATAGTTCAAAGGAATCGCAAAAATCTCCAAGTAGTAGATAAACAAAAGAATACTTGTCTTTGTCGAGAAGGTTTGCAAAAGGTAAAGTGAAATGTAGGGAAACGATGAAAACGTGGTCACGTTTGCCGTTTGCGGGAAGGAAACACGTGAATCTTAATCTGCCTAGTTTCACACTCCCACCTGATCCTAGATCGTCAAACATCCGAGATGTGTCGAATTGACCTAGCCATCACGTAGTACAGTAACTGTTGCATTATGTTCAGTACAGTCACCAAGAAGTTCGGACATTGCTCTCGGGTTTCCTCACGAGTATACCCCTTACGAACTATGTACTTGGTTTAATTAGCTAGTTTTCTAAATACGAGCAAAATATGATTTTCTAACTTGATTGAAGCTTTTCTTGCTGCTGTTTAGAGAGCTAACTAAATCAATCGATCTGAATTTTCTTTTTAAAGTCTGTGAATAGCGCAGCGCAACCGTAACGTCATAAAAATGAAGACAAAGGCGAAATTCGGACAAGTTTACTTTCAGCAGATTATTTTCACAGCCGATCACAGTTGATCTTAATTTACATGGGTTATTATTGTAACTTTAAGTAAAAATAATAAAATCGGTTCGTATAATCCTCGTAGCGGTTAAACAGAATGCAATGCTTGTCTGAATCTTTAAGCTATTTTTAGAATCAGTGCGCTGCGTTATTTGTATGGGAATCCGAGAACGTTGTCCGAACTTCATGACGCTTGACGGCAAGTGCCGAAAAGGTGAATTAATATATGTGTTTTTTTCATATTCATATCTTAAAGCAGATCTTGATAACGTTACTGATTTTCTGGTCTTGTGGAACAGCCAACCAAAACCTAACGAATTACCAGACTTTGATAAGAACTTTGTACACTGCAAGGCAGTTCCCAAGGTAAGAACTGAGAACATGTATCTTTTGTTCTTCCGCAAAATCACTAGTCTTCCCCACAGCCGCTTTCAGTGTCGTCACGCAACGCTTTTTCCCCTGAGTAGAAATTCCAGACCTTGTTTCAGGGTTCAATCTGTGAGTTAGCCATGCCCTGACTTAGATCAGCCCAGAGGTTGTTTCAGGGTTCTATCTGTGAGTTAGCCGTGCCCTGACTTTGATCATGCAGCCCAGAGGTTGTTTCAGGGTTTGATCTGTGAGTTAGCCATGCCCTGACTTAGATCAGCCCAGAGGTTGTTTCAGGGTTCTATCTGTGAGTT